TTTTTTTTGAAGTTCCCTTCATGCCCTTCAAATTATTATTATTATTATTATTATTATTATTATTATTATTATTCGATACTATTTGTCAAATGCCCGGGCAGAAAACCTCTGTGATTGTGTCCTGCTGTGATGCTTTGAACAATGTTGGTTCACATTGCTGCTTTTCAGAATCAACAAGGCCTGCCCGTGGAGCCAAGCGGCATTTTTCCCCCCATTTAATAGTTTGTCATTTCATTTAGGTTTTTTTAATGGTCTGTCCCCAAGGATCGGACGCCGCTGCTCAATGACAGGCGCTCAGCAGCTCAATTCACACACTGAGGCAAAGGGCGAGTGAGAGGAACAAGAGCTGTAGAGCCAGAATACATTCACACCTGACTGTGAATTAGGGGTTTATTTCAATTCAACACATAAGGCAAATTGTTACGCACACGGACTTATTTCTGTAATTGATTATGTGGACAACTCTGCCATGGATAGAAACCTTGCGTGGCACCCTTTGCCATCAGTGTGTGAATGGGTAAACGTGACCAGTCCAAGTCCATTTATCCTCACTGGTCTCATGGCCAATCAACCATCTCCGTTTTTTTTCTCATCGAAATAGCCGGCATCGCCATGATCGTCCTGATCATCGTGAGTGTCCTCATCTACAAAAAAAAACGAGGGTAACATTTTTTGAATGTTTTATTTGTCTATACAGACTAACCCTTTAACAGTTAATGGCATTAACAATGCTTGATCCTTGTCCCGTGCCTTGTCCAACCTTTTTATGTGTCAGTATTTTGCGTTTAGTCTGAGCTTTCTGTCTCTCAAGTGTTATTAAGTGTTGCATGTTGCAATTGTGTGCTTTCATGTGGCTTTTTGATTAAGGTTTTTCTCTACAGCAGTGTCAATGTTGTCATAAGGAGGCGCTGTAATAAGCCCTCAAAACACTCTCCTACACAGAGCTGTAGGCTACTCAGTAGAAATGGCTCTGCCCCAAGTTCCTTACGGTGGTTTTAATGAAGTGTTGAAACACGCATTCAAATGTGGAGGTCAACGAAAAGCAACGTAGATGGTAAAGCATGTGGGAGGTTTTTGTTGATACTTGGTTACATTTATTGTCTCCTGTTTTGTTTCCGTTGATGTCACACATTTACATGACTCAAGACGAAGCACAGATGTGCCACACACACACACTTCCAAGGTAGTCTAAAAGAAGAGCAGAACAACTGGCAACGGATTAGTGTTGTTGTCAACACAAACTCTGTTAAGTTAAAGTACAATCTGTTTGGGTTCACTAGTTTATTTATTTATTTATTTATTTATTTTTTTTACATTAGTTAATTTTAACTCTGCTAAACAGGAAGTAGTGGTTGTTGGTATTTCACATTTCTGGAAATGTTGGGGTAGAGTTTTTGTGAAATGCCTAATCGACTGTATAGGAGAGTGTCTAAAAAAGCCAAACAGTTTACTTAATAAACCCCGTCACACCACTTCTTATAAAGTTGTAAAACCTAAAAACGACTTGGTACCCCTAGGCCCCGAAATGTCTGCCATCAATATTTGGTGATGGATAAAAAGGCCAGTGAAATAAAATATGAGAAAAATGTGACAACAGAACATTTGGTGGCTTAGTCATAGATTTCTTTGTGCAGATGAGTTGTGTGTTCTTTACATTTTAATTATGAATACAAAATGTGAAGAACACTCACTGACTTATTTTTTATTTTATCCTTATTTCAAATTTCCGAACACCAGGCCACATGATATCAATATAAAAAGGTTATTTTGCAGTGCAACAACAAACTCCACATGCAATAGCACCTTTCTGTGTGCTTGATGTTGCTGTGGTGACCTGTTTTCTGCTCTTATTACTACTATTTCGCATCTCACACATTAAATTTGGATATTTCGGCTGGGAGAGACCGATAATAGCATCAGACAGGCCTGGTGTATGTGTGCGTTTGTGTGTGTGAGGTGTCTTTTCGTAAATTGGTGGTCGGTAGTCTTACAGGTGAAGAGGGTATTTTTCTCTGGACATCCTGGAGCTCTACTTGCTCCTTGTCTGCCTGGTCATACAGAAACCGTAATGTTGACCAGTTAATATTGGATTACAGCTCTGGGAGAGGTGGTCCTGACAAGGAAGCTGCAAAATCTGAAGAGGAAGTAGCACTCTCGGTAAGAAGATGGACCACCAAGTGCACTTGAACTCATTTATTCCAAATGAAGCGATAATGTAGTGACGAGCAAGAATAATATGTGACGGTGTGGCCAGAAGCTATCCTATTACTTGACACTGTATTTGCATGATGTATTAATGTTCAAGATTTTTTTCTTCCTTCTGTTGTCCTGGGCACCTAACTAACCTGCTGGACAACAGCCTTTTAAACCCTTCACAGTTCTTTTTTCCTCTTCCACAGGGTTGTTTAGGTTCTTACACTTTGTTTAAAATGTCTGATTTTAATCACTTTTCTATGCTTTTTTTTTTTTCCTTCTGCAGTAAGTGGGCCACTCCTGTTGCTGCAACATTACTGGTTGTAAAATAACAGAAGAAGAAGGAATTGCACTGGACTAGTCCTTGAATGTATTCGTGCTGTCCATGTGCTTGCTGATGGCACAGGCGTATGAAACCCTGAAAAATATTTCTCAACGGCAATCTGAGATTCAGCAATTTGAACTCAATCCTTGTGCTTTGAATGGTTCTTATAATACTAATTTCCATCTCTGATAGACTGCTCAAAACTACTACTTTCCTTTTCTGAGTAATCAAATTTTGTGATATGTGGGATTCTTACACTTTTACAACATCAACAGTTTTTTCTGTAATCATGAAAGAATGTGTTTTCATGTTGATCAGAGGCCATGTTGATTTAAACTTGCACTATATCTCAAGAGCGCAGCTCACCTTGGCCAATATAGCTCAGTTACACAGCTGGTTAAAAATAAGCAAAATGAGGAACGAATGTTTGCATGGTTCACCTTAAACTAACACCTAGCTAATAAACCAGATATCTAGTCTTGTAGAGTCAACTTCCACCATCACATATATCAGTGGGATAAATTAAAGTCCCTAGTCTAGTGCCTGAATATAAGGCATGTTCCATATGCCTTAATACAGAAAGCCAAGTGTTTTAGCTTGTGTGTCACTTGTGTGTTTTGTCTGTGAATTATATACATATACACAAAGTTGTTTGGGTTAGGGAGGCTTAATTGTGAGCCTTCCTTAACTTAATGTTTATGCTAAAGAATTTGCTTTTTAATGTTGGCACATTGTTTTGTGCCATGTAGCTTCACGAAATTAAGTTTCTTTGACTTTTTTTTTTTTTTTCCCCCTCCCTTCAAACTGTTTTGTAGATATCTCTCTTGTCCACTGTTATTTTCAGTTTAATACCATAATGAGAGGAATACTTTGAGTATTTGGCTGCATAAAATGCGTCTGTTACACAAGGATGTATAGAATGTGATCCTGTAAATTTTTGCACTTGCCTGGCTTTTTAGCTCTATTTATTGATCAAAAAATTTGTGTGAACATCTTTAAGATTTTTGTGTTTTGAGGAGACAGGTGAAGAATTGCTAATACATTAGCACTACTTTTGTAATCAATTGGTGGAATAAAACAACAAAGAAGACACCAGTGTGTTCACAATGTACTCTTTATATATAGTTTGCATACAATATGTACCCAAGATCCTGCTGTGGAAATGTGCTATTAAGCAGTGGAGCTTGAAAAGTTAATACATGTTTGTCAACCCTTCTGCATATACAGTTATAACATCGTTTAATAATAATTGAATCAGTCTGTAGCTACTATAGAAATATTTTATACTGTGGATACAAAGACTACTCAAAAATAATTCCTCTAATATCTTCTCTTAGAGTGCCACCTGGTGGATTTGATACAGGCTAGAAAAATATTCAAACGCTCCATTGATAAAGTTGGCATACAAACATCCAGTGGTGGGATGTTACAAGTCCATTACTCAACAGTACTAGAGTACAATTTTAAGGTACTTGTGCTGACGTATATTGATTTAATGCTTCTTTATAGTTGCATCACCACATTTCAAAGTAAAATATTTTACTTTTTACTTGACATATTTGACTGCTGCATTACTTAACAATAAATACTTGTTAATATATAGTCAATCAGTTTAGATATCAAAGAGAGATCCAGCTTTGATGGTGAACTCAAGAAGCTGGTGGCCACTGTAAGAGTAAAACAAACTTTCACTGCAGTCAATCGGTCAGTAAAATGAAGCACAGCGTAGTTGCAAAATCCGCCTCAAGGTAAGATGAGATCTGTCCTTCACTGTAACCGATTTCAAATGGTGCTAGAAACAAAAACAGACTCTGAACACCAAAAGAAATCGGTCAACCTTGGATTCAGGACAAAGAGCTTGAGCTGTCAAAACATCACTGTAGACTGGTGGATAGTAGTCCACGGCGTAGAGCCTCAGGGAGCGATACTTCGAAAGGTGAAATTGTCTCTTTATTTCACCTTTATCTCTGGACACCTCTTCACAGCTGCCTGATGCTGGCTAGTAAAATACACTGCTCACTCATATGTGGACTGTATTGTTAAAACTAGATGCAGCGTCTGTGACGTCACCCATAGATTTCTGAAGGATTTTTTTTTTTTTTTACATGTTTATTTCTGCTGTAACTTAAGGAGATTGATTACTTCTGTAGCCAGCTTCAAGTGGCCATTTGAGGAACTGCAGTTTTTGATACTTCCGTGTTGGCTTCACTTGCCGGCAATGGAGGTTGCCGCTTGTTCCCACCCCAAGAACACTGATTTCAAATGGTGCTAGATAGATGACAATACTCTAAGCCACCATCTGAAACCAGCTTCCAAGGGGGGCTCTTCTGACAATAGGCACCCTTCTGTGGCATAAAACACACTGAATCTAAAAAATAATGGAAAATAGTGGAAAACAATCAGTAAGATTAGTTGTTAGTTTGATAAAATACCACACGATTCTCAATTATTACGGCTGTGGTGCAACCAGGAAACATTTCAGTTAAAATAGGAAATGGAAAGATATTTGAGTGTACATAAGTAGTTCAGATGCAGCAGTGGACACACCCAGCCTGATATCTGCATGTACTGTAATTAATACAGAGCCTAAGAAAGATACGGTAGATGTGAAGCAATTACTGACATGGCAGTAGCGTGAGACAAAGCAAATGTTTCGACTGTAATAGTTTCATTACTGGAATTAATACTTTCAAAGAGGGAAAAGGCCCATACAGCGGATTCTCTAAAGTACGCCACATTTTAAGATGAATTACTTTGTCGTATTTGTCGCCACAGAACTAATTAGTGTTATGTATTATCTATTTCTCATCTGGCACTTCACTTTTAACACTCATCAGCTAAAATTGTAAAAGCGGCACTCAGAAAATAGAAATACATCTGTCATGGAATGTAAGCAACTGTATAAAAATGTACAAACTACCCATTGGATGTTCTGTTTGCAGATTTGAATTATGCATTAACCAAACACCCACAATAATATGACACAAGTATGCGTGGCATTTAATCATAATAGACTTACACTGGTTCCTTCTTCCAGTGGGGAAAGCTGACTTAAATAAAATCTGTGAGAACACTGAAAAGATAACAGCTGTTAGAGGGATGGTCATATTAAGTGTTCATCTGGAGGTCTTACCACTTGCAGATAGAACAATTATTTAAACAGTGCCTCATTGGCATTACACTACACAACCTCATTACACTGATGCATGTCAGTACATTAATAATAGGCACAGTCAGTTTTACATTTTGTCTCTCTCTACCTTGCTGTTGATTGGACCAAGATGATCATCCAGGGAAGCCTGGCAGCATCTTGGAGACAATCAAGAGACCTCAAATGTAATGCGCTCTGGGATGGTTTAGGCTCATGGTTGTGCTCAGAAAGAAGTTTGATTCACTGCCCTGTTTCAGGCCAGAAAGCAGAGAGAGGGGGAAGGAGATGGAGGGAGACAGAGAGAGAGAGAGAGAGACAGAGATGTAATGGAAAACCACTGAGAAAGCACCCCTCTCTCTCTCTCTCTCTCTAATACACCCACACGACTGATCTGATACTTGATCCGAGCTTCGCGGATGTGTGAAGGGCCACACAAGAACAGACATACAAAACACTGCCACTGCATGTCTTTCACATACAGGCTCACCTGCAGCGCTATGCAGACAGCTCGATAAGTCCTCTCCGTTGCTCGGTAGAAGAGTGAGGACGATGGCCCGTTGCTCTCCAGCCACTACGAGGGAAAAAGCAAGGAAGTGGCAGTCAGTCGCTGGGAATGAGAGCCATGACGCAGGCACGCAGCTACCATACACTCAGAGGGTGGGGCAAGGACAGGTAGTGGCCAGTTCACTGACTTCTTGCCAAGTGCTTCAACAAAGTATTACCCAGCCTATTCTAATATCCCTCTTTCCTCTAGCAGTTTTCACTCTTTGCATGGAGGTAAAAAGACCACTACCAATTTATCTTCTTTCCTCAAACCCCTCTTCAGAGGACACACAAACAGTCTGCCTTAATTTTCCCATGTTTACAATGACAACTCCCATAAATACTACTTTTCTTGAAACTGATTAAAGCCTAACCCCAGCCTCAAAACATCAGATGCGATTTACTTTGATTCTTACAGTAATCCCCACAGCTCTTATCAGGCTTCAGATGGGCCAGGCTAAGCCATTTTTTTTTGTCGGGGCTGTGTGTGAGGGTGTACAAGCCTATGTGTGTGTGTTTGCACTGTAGTCACAGTGACGACTCTGATCAGAGGGCCTGTCTGTTCGTAGGTGTCTGGTTCCTTTGCCTGGCTGGCTCAACCCAACCCTGTCAGTTTTCTTTTTCGGGTTGTTTGTTGCTTGTGTGCCACTGGACCTGTTGTGTAATGCTTATAAAAGATTTAAAGGGACAGAAGGCCTTCAGAGAGCGGTCAACGACAGGATCACAAAGGAACTGTGAATCACCCTGGGGAAACCCGTAGGGGAGAATATGTTCACAGTGGTCCTTATTTAGAGAGAAATGGGAATATTGCTGAGCGAGCAAACTGCAGCAAAACATGCACGATAAGCAATTTGTTAAGATAAAATACAACTTACGGTTAAAAGAAAATCCATGTATTATGAATCCTCTATGAATCCTACTTCTGTCTCTGAATGTGTCACGATTACGCCCTGTGTTGATGTGTAGTCTACACTGGTAGACTGTAGTAACTCATTCATAAGGAATGACCCCACTAGAGGTGAGGTGACTGGGGGAGAACTGATGCTAAGAATTGTCTTTATCTTTATAATCATTTTACAAAGGAAAACTAAAAAGGTAGCAATAGTATATTATGCCATCAGCACATTTAGAAGAAGGCAAGTGAGAGAAAAAGAGAGAGAAAGACGCTGACTGTAGAAGCAGGAGCTGCAATGCAGACCACGGGCAGCCACACACGCTCTTGCATCATCTCAGAAATGTGGCATCTTTTCGACGTTGGACTTCAAGACAAGAGAACGAGAAGGCCTCTCTAGTCAAGGGATACTGGTGAATGCCCCCCATCACAGGTATCAGAGTGCGTCAGGCATGCACGCTATGCAGAAAATGCTGAGCAGCTCTCTTTTACTGACAGTTCAGTGCTAGTAGGAAGGCCTGGGTAAAATTTGATTTTATGGGCAACAAGAACTAATATGTCACTGTAAATTTGTAGGAAGGTTCTGGTAAAGACAGTGTTCTATTGGTACTCTTCCAGTTAATTAATTCCAATTAACTGCTGGTGCAGTTGGTGCACAGCAGGTCACATGCACAAATGTAATACTTGTCTACAAGCAAGCATATGGAGAATCAAATTTGCCATCAAATAAACAAATAATTACTCCAGTTTAAATGGATCTCTGTCAGTTTTTTCATTTTTATTTTAGCAGTTCTTTCTTTCACTACATGGCTTCTAAGATAACTATTAGGAAATTAAGGTACCTGTAAAACAAGGTGATACCTAAGCCTGGGGCTGGCCCACTGCATTATACGAGGTAGGTTTGGATAAAAATGTTGTCAACCAAATAATAAAAGTACGATAATACCATCACAAAAGAAACACCGCGGGCTGCGATGTTAAAAAGCTAATTCAAGCATTCTTAACCGTTAAAGGAAACAAGAATTACCAATTTGAACAGAAATCCCCAGTTAACGTTCTACCACGTAACAATAGATTAACAGCTCCACCTATATAAACATCCATTGTACCCATGGAACCATGGAAAGGTGTTTCTGGAACTGCCAAACCTTTGTATAAGAGAACAGTGATTCTTAACCAATCAGATGTTGAACTCCAGCTGTGTGCTTATACTAAGCCAATAAAGCACTGCTGTGCAGCTTGTGGAGCCAGAGGAGCTCCTCCCATCCAATGAGAACCCAGATTTGGCACGAAGGCCTGTGATGCAGCAGCTTTAGGAAGTCCAGTGCATGCGAACTGGAGAGAAGCCAAAGCAGAGTCACTAAGAGAGCAAGGTAAACAACTCCTCTCTCTTTCTCAATCTCTCTCTCTCTCTCTCTCTCTCTGATCCTGAGCCATGACATTTAGCCCCTTCTGTTGTCCCCTTTCTCCAAGAGAGAGACAGATAGAGAGATAAACAGATAGAGAGGG